TAATTATCCCATAATTTTAAAAACCTTCATTAAAAAGTATAGCAATAGATTACAAATTTAATCCCAAGGGTGGCACTTTCTAGGGTGGCACTTTCTATAGGGTGGCACTTTCTAGGGTGGCGGATTAGTGATTCTCTGAATGGAAAGACATTTATATTTATTTACAAGTATACTATGTACAAAATACATAATGCTATAAAACTAATTAAATAACAAACTGTAGTGTAATCAAATAAATGTTTATTTAATTGTTGTAATTGTATGATATTAATATTTATGGGATCAAATTCGAAATCAGTATATTTTTACCACAATACTGTATATTGTATAATAGAATAATATAGTTTATATGATCATTAAGCCAACTTTTTCTTTTCACCCTATGGGATTAAATTTGTAATCTATCGCTATACTTTTTAATGAAGGTTTTTAAAATTATGGGATAATTAGGATCGTGGTTGAATGGCAGCTGGATCATGAGATCGCAGCTTATTTCTGTTACTATACTATAACATGGGGTAATGCTAAGTATCCGGGTATCCAGTCGTTCAAAAAAACTTGTCTTCTCAAGAATCGTTATATCTCCCGAACGGAATGAGCTAGATCAAATCTGTAAACTGTAAAATTATGATCCACATATCTAGTTTTTTCTGACAAAAAATCATATAATGTCTATAATGTAATTTTTATAAAATATATTTGTTTAGATCTTAATCCATTGGATTTTGATATTTTTTGGCGAATTAAACGTCCACTCCGTGGAAAGCGCTTTAATACTAAAGACGAACTTAAAGAGCAAGTGGGAAAAGTTGTCAAAAAAATTAATGAAAATCACGAATGTCACGGAATGCAAAATTTACCATTTAGATGGCAAGAAGTGATGGATAACGATGGATATTACATTTAAATATATACAAATTATGTATAATTTTTAAGCATTAGTAAACGAAATTATATAATTATTAGAATTTATATAAAAAGTAATAAAACTAGTTTAGCAGCATTCAAAGTTTGTTTTGTTTTATTTATGATAATTTACAAATGAAAAATTTATTCAAAGTCGCGATAGTTAATTTTTTGAAAGTGAATTTTCAAAATTTTGTTTTACTAACATTATCAGCATTTAATGTAGTACTTATAAATATAATTAATTATATATTAATTTAATTAAATTTTTAGTCCCATAGGTTAACATACAAAAATTGCAATAATTTGTTGACCTCCTATGTTAAAACCAGCAATTCAATAAGTGAGGTTCTAAGTTATTATTACTCATTGACATCTCCTCTTCCAAATAGGGTACCCGCCCCCTCCTGACCCCCCTTTCAAGTGGGCTAAAACTATGGCATTTCGAAATGACCCAATATTTTTAATGTTTGAGTCACGTGATTTTAATAATTTTTTGTCAGAAAAAACTAGATATGTGGATCATCATTTTACAGTTTACAGATTTGATCTAGCTCATTCCGTTCGAAAGATATAACAATTCTTGAGAGGACAAGTTTTTTTGAACGACTAGATAATATGATAAAATTAATGCTAATTCTATAGAATATTCTAACTCATAATTCAGAAAATATGATTCACTAAATTAATTAATTATAGTTAGTCAAAATTGTTATTACTATGATTGAAAGTTATTATCAATAACTAATTGATGTTGGTCTGATTATCACATACTTAACACCAGTCACTATTTTAGAGTTATTTATTAAGTTTTATAAATACTATTATTTTATTCAATTTAAATTATTAATAATATTTGACTAACATTATTGATAAAATTTATTTTTTATCAAATTGTCACTTTAATTTAATTAGATGTAATAATAGGGCCAATAAATAATTATTATAATTGAATTTTATCACTTTTATTTAGATATCGGGGTTTCGGTTATATTTCCATAGTGTTTTGTAACATTGTATTTGAATGCTTGCCAAATTTTTGTGGTTACTATCAACAAACCCTTGTAAATGTTATTTGATACATCTATTATTTAGTCGTCCCACACTTTTCGCTATTTCCTGACGACTACAGGGCTCTCGACCGTGGATTGGGAGCTGGAAGCGACTGTTTGGACCAAATAAACCAAATGATGGCCCCTGAAACAGAGAGAGAGAGAGAGAGAGAGAGAGAGAGAGATTTGATTATTTATACCACACAAACTAAGAATATTTATTTTGCCATTTAATAAAATCTATATTATTTTAATTATAATAAAAGTGTTTCTAATAATAAGAAAGAGATTTACGAAAGACATAATATAAGTTCATGTTGTAAAAATATTTAGCATTTTTAGATATATGTTATAAATTATAACTTATAATACAGAACTTGCATTAATTTTGTTTTAAGAAATTAAGAATTATGGTAAATCAAAAGAGTTTAAATCCTATTTTAATGCGAATATTTGTGTATTTGCATCGCTGTTGTGGCGTTACATTTGGTGGTATATGCATCTCAAACACCGGACGTATTTCATACAATAAATGGTTAAATTGGTTGGGAATAATAATAATGATCATGGTGCTGTTTGCACAAATAATGGGCACAATTAAATACACTATTAATTCCAGTACATTCGCTACTAAGAATGATTTTCCGGTTATGTATTTTGTAGAAAAATTTATTGTTGTATCAATAAATATGCAAATGTGTATTCAGTATTTATACTATACATTTAAGGGCAAGTATTTAATAACCGAATGGCATAAATTGGGTGGTATTAGACGGGCGACAAATGTAGCCATTTTCTCAATATTGTATTTGCTCTCTATATCAATAGTATTATTTGTTATGATAAATATAATTACTAATTCCCATGATTATCAATATGGAATATCTGGTATTTTAGTAGCATTTTATTATTTTGTTGGATTGAATACAATGTCTTTTATGATGTACGGTTAGTAGAAATAAATCAATACATGAATCTTTATTAATTATTTGTATATTTTATTCTAAAAGGCATTTCTCTTTCAATAACTGAACTCATGGAATGTTTAACACGAGAACTTGATGTACCACGTTGCAAAGTGTCACCTGGTCATATTGATATGGCCATGATTAGGCTCGTATTTAACAATATGCGGGATAAAATGAACGAACTAGACGGTTCTTGGTGGATATACATTCTAAACATAATGGATAGTATTAATGTATTAATCAACATAATGGTATTTATCTACATGGGAATTGTCAAAAACCAAAATAGGCAAATACTATTGATTCTATCTACAATACTACCAATTATTAAAACAATTGCCAATTATATAATACACGGTATGGCCCAGACATCTGTTCAATTATTTTTCAAGCAAATGGATAGAATGGATGTATCGCTACTATCGGACAACTCCTACCGTCACTATCAGTGTCTGAGAGCACAATCAATTGACACGTATATTGGTTTCACAATCGCTGGTTTTGTTCGGTATAATAAAAGTTCATTACTAGCCGTATGTATCATTCAATTATTACCGTGGTATTCTTTAGCATTACCTTAATAAAAAAATTTTATCTCACAATTATTATTTTCAGATATTCTGTTTTCTACTCAATTATATCGTTATACTCACACAATTGGGGAAATTGTAAATTATATAATCATTAGTTTTCAGAAAACTAAAATTTTCACAATAGTTTACAAACATATTTTTTATTAAAATATTTGATACATTTTACCAAGAATTTTTTATAAATGCATTGTATGATTCACAAAATGAGATTAATTGTATTAATAATATTTATTTGTTAGATGACATTTATTGTTTAAATATCAAGGTGTTATTTTATAGTTTCTAACATTTAAATTAATTGTAAATAGTCTAGTTTATTTAACAATTTATTATTAATTTGCAATTTAATATAAAAATGTTTGCGGTTAATTTTATTTTTGTAAACATTAATCAATATTCTAAATATGTTTTACAAATGATTTTTAATGTTTTATGAAATGTTACAATTATTACACGAAATATATATTTTGGCGATTCATAATTTCGAGAAAACAATTGCATTTATTTTTCCAATAATTGTTTAATAAATCATATAATTTTGACACATTTTAAAGAAAACAATCATATTATTCATAATTGAAAGTATATTTAAAATAAAGTATATAAGCAGACAAACATTTCTGTTAAATAGGTATATAATTAAATTAATACGAATTAAAATATTGATTAAAAGTTTTATAATAAGTTTATAAAGTTTATAACTTGCACCTATAATGAAGTGCGCTATTATTTTTACAATAGTTGCATTGATAATGGCAGTTAATATGACTAATTGTAAGTACATTAATAAATACAGTATAATTATAATAAATTTTATTTCTGTATTATTACTATACATGATAATAATATAATGATAATAATTGTGGACTAGGTCAATTCCATGGCCCACCGTTTGGTCAATTTGGACCAAACCCGACATTTCAATTCCCTTTTCATAGACGAGACCCGTATAGTCGCGAAGAGATAGTGAAAAAAGTTGGATATTTAGAGATTTTTGTGAACACATATCTGGAGCGCGCCATAGAGTGTGGACAGCGACTGAATGGCAGTGATGTACAGGTGCTGCAAGACATCCGTACTAACGATGTGCCCCACGTTTTTGCCACTATCCGTCTAAAATTAAATGTAACCGCACCCACAGCTCCCGTTATAGTCCCTACAAACACCCCTATTATTACTGGTGGCGCTGGTATTAATGCTATTGTTGTTTAAGTGGTGTTGATTTGTTAATTTGTAACAGGGTTGTAATAATAATTGTTGTGTGATACAAATATTAAAATTAATGTAATCTTATATTTAAAAGTATGTAATCTATAATTTTAAGTTAAATAAAAAATATGTACTTAAAATGTTTTGTTATTTATATTAAAAAAAATAATTTTAATTGTATTGATTAAATAAACTGTTCATGTTCAATTATTCGCACACAATTTCGGAGAAAATATATATATTACTATTTTTAATACACATCTTATATAATCTGGATTAATATTTAACATATAAGTACTTATAATTCTTACCCTGCGACTAATAATTTATTTTTATAATTAGTAATAAATGCTATATTTTGCAGATAATAAGTCTATGAATTATATTGCTTTTACAAATAATATCATAAATGACCTTTATATTACATTTTTATATATTTCTATTTAAATCTTGAGATTTCTAACAATCAGATGTATTTCTACAAAAGAAATACTTGAAATACGTTAAGGTAAACACACATTAATTTATATTCAGAAATAAATTATTTAAAAAACAGAAATTAGCAATTATTATCTATTAAATTACCCAACATATAATTAATAAATATACATGTAAATACTTTACACACATACTGTATACGTGTATATTAGTACAATAAATTAATATGCAAATGATATAAATTAATTGTTTAGTATTATTTATTAATAAATGAAAATTGATTTTAAAAATTAAATATTTTATATTATTTAAAAATAGCTTAAATAATTTAAATAATATTTCAAATTTATTATATTTTCTTTCTTAAATCAGATAACTCTTGGTGAATTCGAAGAGTTAAATTCTTGTATTTTTCTACCAGCGCTCTTTGGTCCTTGGTCAATTCATTGATGTATTCAAATTCAATATCAATCATATCCTGAATCTATAATTAAATATTACATGTTAAATGTATAATGAATGAGGTATATATGAAATGATGCCACAACTTACCCTAATGATATCATCAATCATTTGGTCGACCTGTTCTAAATGCTTTTGTCTGAGCAAAGGGTGTTCATCGATGTCTTTAATCACAGCTTCCCTTTGTTTCTGAACGCCAGCGACAGTAGTGGTGACGTCCAGCATGAATGGGTCCCAATCGTACGGTATGGCTAATGCTGTGATTATATTATTCAGTTTAATTACAATCACAATTTATATAGTTTGAAATATTTTATATTAAGTAAACCTGTATATTTATTTACCTAGAGAAGCTGCAGCTAAAAATGTTGAAATGATTAATGCGGATTTCATATTGAATACTATTTATTTTAATTAAACTGAATTATTTAATTCGTTTACTCAACTAGTTGAACTTGCTATTTAATTAGTAAAATATTTTAATTTATATATTAATGTCTAATTGATTACGTGAGAATTACAAAGATAATTACCAAATGCTTTATTAAGAATTATTGTTCAATAATAATGAAATTGGTTATTAAGACTTTGATTAGATTAATCAATAAGTAATTAGTAGTAAATGTGATATCATTCTCAAATTATATCATGCTCAGTTTATACTTATGACACCGGAGTTATGCAATTATTTGAATATATAATTTTACATTGCAACAGGTTAATTTTGAAATTACAAACATTAGTGAAATACTATTTGTTTGTTATAAATATAATTTATATTGTATATTATACAATGTATAGCAAAACAATATAGTTTTACTAAAAAGTAAGATAAAAATTAATAACTTTTATTAAAAAATTTCTCTTTTATTTATTATGAAAAGTAAAAGTTAAGTTAGCTGATTTTGTAATACTAAATAATGATAATATTACGCCTTCGGGAAAGTAATCATATTTTGGTAATAAAAATTTTAAATTATATTTTTAATATGAAGCAACGATTTATTTCATATAATGTTTTGGTCATAATAATTGCTAACTATTGACCATTTTTCGGCCGGCTGTTCAATGACTTTGAATTAAAAATGGCTGCACTGAAAGCCAAAGAAGTGAGTCATGTCTAGTTCGACCACTACTTTTATTTTGCCATTTCTGTCATAAAGGACTGATTGTAGAGAAAGTTGAAAACAGTCATCTCATAGAGGAATAACTGGAGTATGTTTTAGGTATGAGAGAAATTGTAACAAAAATTTAGTAAATTTTTTTTGGTTGAATTTCTAAAAATCCTGTCTAAAAATAGGCTAAAAATGGCTATATTTTGGGTATATGTCTCTATATCGGATCCTGTAACCTCCCCAATGACTTTTAAATAGTTACAACTAGTTGTACGGCGTAAGCTTATGTATACCAACAATATCATATATAAAAATCTTTACTATGATTTACCCCGGTTGTTTGCCGCAGCATTTTTCACTCCTCGGGGTCGGCGGGTTCGAGAATGGTTATTGGAGTTATGATTACCGGATTTTACCCTTTTAAACAATTTATGTCATTGGGCAATAGATAATACATCGTCTAAGACTAATATATTACTTTTGTAGGTCTCTTGTGTAGTCCCCTCGCTTAAAAGTTAAAATAGACTAAATTATCAAATTATTCTCTATAGTTTATTTCGCGTTAAATCAATAGTTTTTAAAATAAAATATAAAATTTTTAAATACAGAATTAAAGCTAAATAATAGATGTATCAAATAACATTTACAAGGGTTTGTTGATAGTAACCACAAAAATTTGGCAAGCATTCAAATACAATGTTACAAAACACTATGGAAATATAACCGAAACCCCGATATATTAATTTAATTATTTCAAATTTATTTGAAACTATTGTTTAAAGTTAATATTTTACTAGTACCAACACAAATTAATGCTAAATTATAAAACTTTCTCTCTTTGCTTATATTGACATGGTAATAATGAATAAATATTTATTAAATATAAAAATAATAAATAGAAATTATTTTTCCCTCTATTACATTTCTAAAAATTATTTATTAAATATTTTTAACAAAAATTAAAAATAATTGCTTATTTGCAAATTAAATTTAAATTATACTTTAAATCCTGGTTGTCAGATGTTTTTTGTTCCATGATAATAATATAAACTTAATATTTTGTAATACTAAATACATTATAGTTGAAATTGTCACTAATATTTATCTTTATTGATACCATTATTGTTGATAACAATATAAAACCATTTTTAAGTATTAATTATTTATTATAATACTTTAATTAGTTTAATATCATTTTTAAATTAATTTGTTTTATTTGTTATTTCTTTTAAATTAAATAAATTAGTATTTGGAATATTTAAACAATTTCAATATTTTATTAAAATCGCATTAAACAATTAAAACAAATAGATGATTAATAACAACAATAAATTTATTGTTGTTAAATTTATTTAATTAGAAACATAAGTTAATTGTTATTAAGATTAAACAATTTAGATATTTTTAAGGATATCCGACAACTGTTTGTGTGTCTTATCGGTGAGGTTGATATAGTTGGTCAAAGTGGTCTTCTGAGCCTCAGTCAACTGATCGCGGTATTGGTACTCGTCGTCAAGTTTGTCCTGAACCTATTCATACAAGATCATATTCACAATTATATTAATGTACATCATTTTATAAATTTAATACACAACAAATCAAAATATATTAGATAATAAATTGTACATAAAATACATACATCAATAATCTGGTCAATCAATTGGTTGCAAAGCTCTTTGTGTTGGTCGCGACGCTCGGGATGGAGTCCGATGTCGGTCTCGAGCATAGCCTTCCCGTGTGAGACCTCATTCACACTCGTCTCCACTTCTTTGATGAATGAGTTCCACTCATAGGGAGCACCGGCCAGGGCTGACATACAAATGATTTAGCATGATCGTTTATATAAATAACTTAATTATTAATATTATATCAAATTCATTATTTACCCAGGCCAAAAACGGCCACAAATGCTGAGACAATAATAATGGATTTCATTGCAAATGCCTGTTATTTTGTTAAACAATTATTTGACTCAAATATAATTCAGAAATATGAATGATTATCATTATTAAAATGTATTATATTTATATAATTTTAATGTTCAATAGTATCGTATGAGAAAATCTAAACATGACACTCATGTGCGTTAAATTCCATGATATCAACTAGACAATAAATTAACGTTTATTGTGATATGATATGATTTACAACAATAAACGGGGGATTAATTAAATATTATTTAAAATATATTAGCTACTTGGCTTTTATTTCATTATAATGATTTTAATATACCTATGCTATCAAACACCAGCCCCTTCCAGCCACTTAATCTATAAATTACTTACGTATACCAAGCTGATACCACTTCATGTACCAAAATACCATAATTATTGCAAATGTCAAGGAAATTAGGCGAATATTTGTGTTTAATGTAAAGTATAATAGAGAGTAATAATTTACATATTACAATAATGCTCTTAAAACATTGGAGTATGTAATAAATGGTATATTTACCGTGAAAAACTTAGTACCTACTTGTTCTAGAGATTATAAAGTGCTGATAACTGATTGCTAATTTATTAAGAATTGCGGATTACATAAGACATTTACAACACTTTTAAATTAAATAATATGTAAAAATAATAAATAAAGATCTAGTTTGTTACCCTTAATGCAATATAAAACAATAAACTTGATGAATTACTTGTAAATACAAAAATTGCATAATAAAAACATTATTAGTAAATAAGATATAATTCTTGGAATTTTAAAATGACGCTAAGGTTGTCTCGTATTTCCATAAAAGTAAAGCAAAGTAGTGCTAAAAATAATTAAAAGCATAATATTAATAAATTACCAATTGAGATAAACAAACTGTGTCAGAATTTTACATTGTAATTACTACCAAAGTCTGGGCACAAGTTATAATATAAAATTTTAATGAGACTAATGAAATGCTAATTGGAAAACTTGTGGCGTTTAAAATAATTAAATATTAATACCTTTACAGTGTATTATCACCCACTGGACAGCGATGGCCACCCGGAGACTCATTCAAATAAACATTGACCTGATGAGATTTAAATAGAAAAAACTGTAAACATGATAAATTACTTGTAAATATAATAATCATAATAAAATAATTAATCCATGTTGCATTAAAAACAAGTAACATCTAGAAGTGCACACCACTTCTAGATAGGTAAACAAAACCATAAATTTATTAGGATTACAGTTTACAAAGAAATTGTCTTTTTTGTAAATACTGTAAAATGTAGATGGTTAGTGAAACCTCTGTATAACATCTAAACATCACGTGAGATATAAATTAAGTGCTTATTCTTAAGCAATATGCTATTATTATAGCATTATTATTATACAATGACATGACATTTGAATGTAGACAGAACGTGCATACATGGAATATTCGTATGACTACCGACTATGTTAGTATGTGATAAATACAATTATCTTACGGTCAAGCTGTAAGTCTCCTAGATCATACGGTATGATTCATACCTATTCCAAATTATATCTAAGAAAACACAGTTTAAAAATAGGTATAACATTATATGTTTGCAATCTAGTGATATCTTGGAAAATACTAATCAGTAATTAGTAATCATCAAAATCCTATGCTATACACCGTATGTTAATGTTACAAAATGGTCATAACTTTCCCGTTTCTGGCCATTGGCTCATTTTGACACCTGAATATTGATCGGACGCCCGTACTTGATTAAACCATGTCAAGAAAATAATCAAATTGCCATGTCACTATACCGATTTCCCGATTTAGTATTGTTATTTAAGGTATAAATAGTCTATTATTATTTGAACATTTGATCAACATTAATCAATATTTTAACAGTTGATAGTAATTTTACCAAAAATAAGTTTAACATGATTATTACAAACATTATATTGCCGGTACTGCTGTGTTTTAAATTATCAAGATATTCAACTTAAAAGATAGTATGATTAACATTAATTAATTGTTAAATACAAATTCATAATGTAAATCCTGATAAAATGTTTAAATTTAATCAAAAATAGAGCCATGAAATAAAGTAAATATAGCTGTTAGTGCATTCTTTGTTGGTGTTGTGTACCTTATATAAATGTACCTTAACAAATTGTCGTTAATTAATAATTATATATTGATATTAAAATCTACGTTATACATTTTACCCTGTATATCTGAACCGGGAGTGTATATGAGGTTCACAGTTACCGACCGAAGTGGTGATGTTATCGAATGGATGGACACATGTTTTATATATTAACTGTTTTATTGAGCGAAGGCTCTAAGAGTGTGAGCTCTTCGAAGTCTAGATAGACTCTGGTTATAGTACATGGTTTGCGACCGTCTTATATAGTCGATGTTTGAGCTAAAGTACAATATAGTATGACTTATGCCTTCGTATAAATATACAGTAATTATAATAGTTATTGAGTATACAGTAATACAATGTGAATGGAAATATACTATTGATACATTAATAGGAAAATAACAGGTAATGAGTATATAGTGTTTAAGGGTCTTGCCAGCCCCG